GGGAACAGCGGGACCGTCACCATCGTCTCCGCCAACGCCGGCACAACGGGCCACAGCGGTGTCATGACCTTCAGCTCCGGCGCAACCGCGTCGGGGGACACCGGCGCCGTCAACATCGGTAGCGGCGCCGCTCTGGGCGGCACCGGAGGTGATGTGACTCTAACGGTGGGCCGCGGAGACACCGGCGAGGGCGGTCTGATGGAGATGGCGGCCGGCGAGTCGACCACGGCCACGGGAGGATCGGTGACCATCACCAGCGGTGAGGGTACGGCGACCACCAGCGGTGCGATCACCATCCGATCGCCCAACGCCGGCGCCGTGGGCGTGAGCGGCGCCATTGTGTTGAGCTCGGGTACCACCAGCTCCGGCACCAGCGGTTCGGTGCTCATCGGAAGTGGCGCGGCGGTGTCGGGAGCTGGCGGAGCGGTGAGTCTGACGGTGGGCACCAGCGCCTACACGACGGGCGGGACGCTCACGTTGGCGGCCGGCACGGGTGTGACGGGCGGTCCTGTGTCGATGTCGGCCGGAACGGGCACCACGTCTACGGGCGGGTCGGTGAGTCTGGCGGCGGGCGCAGGGTCGACGGGCGGATCGTTCACGGTGGTGGCCGGACAAGGCACCGGGACGACGGGCGGGGCGATCACGGTGACGGCCGGTGAAGGAGGGACGGACGGCGGCGCGTTGATCATGGCAGCAGGATACGGTGGTGACAGTGGTGGCCTCGTGGCTGTGTCTAGCGGGGCCGTGACGGACGGGAACAGCGGGACCGTCACCATCGTCTCCGCCAACGCCGGTACAACGGGCCACAGCGGTGTCATGACCTTCAGCTCCGGCACAACCACGTCGGGAGACACCGGCGCCGTCATGATCGGCAGCGGTGACGCCATCGGCGGACAGGCCGGTCTGTTGAGTCTGACCGTGGGCGACACGAGCTCGGGGGAGGGCGGCGACGTGACCATATCCGCCGGTCAGTCGTCCGAGCTGTCTGGGGGGGCCGTGACCATCACCAGCGGCGAGGGCACCGCCACCACCAGCGGTGCGATCACCATCCGATCGCCCAACGCCGGCGCCGTGGGCGTGAGCGGCGCCATTGTGTTGAGCTCGGGTACCACCAGCTCCGGCACCAGCGGTTCGGTGCTCATCGGAAGTGGCGCGGCGGTGTCGGGAGCTGGCGGAGCGGTGAGTCTGACGGTGGGCACCAGCGCCTACACGACGGGCGGGACGCTCACGTTGGCGGCCGGCACGGGTGTGACGGGCGGTCCTGTGTCGATGTCGGCCGGAACGGGCACCACGTCTACGGGCGGGTCGGTGAGTCTGGCGGCGGGCGCAGGGTCGACGGGCGGATCGTTCACGGTGGTGGCCGGACAAGGCACCGGGACGACGGGCGGGGCGATCACGGTGACGGCCGGTGAAGGAGGGACGGACGGCGGCGCGTTGATCATGGCAGCAGGATACGGTGGTGACAGTGGTGGCCTCGTGGCTGTGTCTAGCGGGGCCGTGACGGACGGGAACAGCGGGACCGTCACCATCGTCTCCGCCAACGCCGGTACAACGGGCCACAGCGGTGTCATGACCTTCAGCTCCGGCACAACCACGTCGGGAGACACCGGCGCCGTCATGATCGGCAGCGGTGACGCCATCGGCGGACAGGCCGGTCTGTTGAGTCTGACCGTGGGCGACACGAGCTCGGGGGAGGGCGGCGACGTGACCATATCCGCCGGTCAGTCGTCCGAGCTGTCTGGGGGGGCCGTGACCATCACCAGCGGCGAGGGCACCGCCACCACCAGCGGTGCGATCACCATCCGATCGCCCAACGCCGGCGCCGTGGGCGTGAGCGGCGCCATTGTGTTGAGCTCGGGTACCACCAGCTCCGGCACCAGCGGTTCGGTGCTCATCGGAAGTGGCGCGGCGGTGTCGGGAGCTGGCGGAGCGGTGAGTCTGACGGTGGGCACCAGCGCCTACACGACGGGCGGGACGCTCACGTTGGCGGCCGGCACGGGTGTGACGGGCGGTCCTGTGTCGATGTCGGCCGGAACGGGCACCACGTCTACGGGCGGGTCGGTGAGTCTGGCGGCGGGCGCAGGGTCGACGGGCGGATCGTTCACGGTGGTGGCCGGACAAGGCACCGGGACGACGGGCGGGGCGATCACGGTGACGGCCGGTGAAGGAGGGACGGACGGCGGCGCGTTGATCATGGCAGCAGGATACGGTGGTGACAGTGGTGGCCTCGTGGCTGTGTCTAGCGGGGCCGTGACGGACGGGAACAGCGGGACCGTCACCATCGTCTCCGCCAACGCCGGTACAACGGGCCACAGCGGTGTCATGACCTTCAGCTCCGGCACAACCACGTCGGGAGACACCGGCGCCGTCATGATCGGCAGCGGTGACGCCATCGGCGGACAGGCCGGTCTGTTGAGTCTGACCGTGGGCGACACGAGCTCGGGGGAGGGCGGCGACGTGACCATATCCGCCGGTCAGTCGTCCGAGCTGTCTGGGGGGGCCGTGACCATCACCAGCGGCGAGGGCACCGCCACCACCAGCGGTGCGATCACCATCCGATCGCCCAACGCCGGCGCCGTGGGCGTGAGCGGCGCCATTGTGTTGAGCTCGGGTACCACCAGCTCCGGCACCAGCGGTTCGGTGCTCATCGGAAGCGGCGCGGCGGTGTCGGGAGCTGGCGGAGCGGTGAGTCTGACGGTGGGCACCAGCGCCTACACGACGGGCGGGACGCTCACGTTGGCGGCCGGCACGGGTGTGACGGGCGGTCCTGTGTCGATGTCGGCCGGAACGGGCACCACGTCTACGGGCGGGTCGGTGAGTCTGGCGGCGGGCGCAGGGTCGACGGGCGGATCGTTCACGGTGGTGGCCGGACAAGGCACCGGGACGACGGGCGGGGCGATCACGGTGACGGCCGGTGAAGGAGGGACGGACGGCGGCGCGTTGATCATGGCAGCAGGATACGGTGGTGACAGTGGTGGCCTCGTGGCTGTGTCTAGCGGGGCCGTGACGGACGGGAACAGCGGGACCGTCACCATCGTCTCCGCCAACGCCGGTACAACGGGCCACAGCGGTGTCATGACCTTCAGCTCCGGCACAACCACGTCGGGAGACACCGGCGCCGTCATGATCGGCAGCGGTGACGCCATCGGCGGACAGGCCGGTCTGTTGAGTCTGACCGTGGGCGACACGAGCTCGGGGGAGGGCGGCGACGTGACCATATCCGCCGGTCAGTCGTCCGAGCTGTCTGGGGGGGCCGTGACCATCACCAGCGGCGAGGGCACCGCCACCACCAGCGGTGCGATCACCATCCGATCGCCCAACGCCGGCGCCGTGGGCGTGAGCGGCGCCATTGTGTTGAGCTCGGGTACCACCAGCTCCGGCACCAGCGGTTCGGTGCTCATCGGAAGCGGCGCGGCGGTGTCGGGAGCTGGCGGAGCGGTGAGTCTGACGGTGGGCACCAGCGCCTACACCACGGGCGGGACGCTCACGTTGGCGGCCGGCACGGGTGTGACGGGCGGTCCTGTGTCGATGTCGGCCGGAACGGGCACCACGTCTACGGGCGGGTCGGTGAGTCTGGCGGCGGGCGCAGGGTCGACGGGCGGATCGTTCACGGTGGTGGCCGGACAAGGCACCGGGACGACGGGCGGGGCGATCACGGTGACGGCCGGTGAAGGAGGGACGGACGGCGGCGCGTTGATCATGGCAGCAGGATACGGTGGTGACAGTGGTGGCCTCGTGGCTGTGTCTAGCGGGGCCGTGACGGACGGGAACAGCGGGACCGTCACCATCGTCTCCGCCAACGCCGGTACAACGGGCCACAGCGGTGTCATGACCTTCAGCTCCGGCACAACCACGTCGGGAGACACCGGCGCCGTCATGATCGGCAGCGGTGACGCCATCGGCGGACAGGCCGGTCTGTTGAGTCTGACCGTGGGCGACACGAGCTCGGGGGAGGGCGGCGACGTGACCATATCCGCCGGTCAGTCGTCCGAGCTGTCTGGGGGGGCCGTGACCATCACCAGCGGCGAGGGCACCGCCACCACCAGCGGTGCGATCACCATCCGATCGCCCAACGCCGGCGCCGTGGGCGTGAGCGGCGCCATTGTGTTGAGCTCGGGTACCACCAGCTCCGGCACCAGCGGTTCGGTGCTCATCGGAAGCGGCGCGGCGGTGTCGGGAGCTGGCGGAGCGGTGAGTCTGACGGTGGGCACCAGCGCCTACACGACGGGCGGGACGCTCACGTTGGCGGCCGGCACGGGTGTGACGGGCGGTCCTGTGTCGATGTCGGCCGGAACGGGCACCACGTCTACGGGCGGGTCGGTGAGTCTGGCGGCGGGCGCAGGGTCGACGGGCGGATCGTTCACGGTGGTGGCCGGACAAGGCACCGGGACGACGGGCGGGGCGATCACGGTGACGGCCGGTGAAGGAGGGACGGACGGCGGCGCGTTGATCATGGCAGCAGGACACGGTGGTGACAGTGGTGGCCTCGTGGCTGTGTCTAGCGGGGCCGTGACGGACGGGAACAGCGGGACCGTCACCATCGTCTCCGCCAACGCCGGTACAACGGGCCACAGCGGTGTCATGACCTTCAGCTCCGGCACAACCACGTCGGGAGACACCGGCGCCGTCATGATCGGAAGCGGTGACGCCATCGGCGGACAGGCCGGTCTGTTGAGTCTGACCGTGGGCGACACGAGCTCGGGGGAGGGCGGCGACGTGACCATATCCGCCGGTCAGTCGTCCGAGCTGTCTGGGGGGGCAGTGACCATCACCAGCGGCGAGGGCACCGCCACCACCAGCGGTGCGATCACCATCCGATCGCCCAACGCCGGCGCCGTGGGCGTGAGCGGCGCCATTGTGTTGAGCTCGGGTACCACCAGCTCCGGTACCAGCGGTTCGGTGCTCATCGGAAGTGGAGCGGCGGTGTCGGGAGCTGGCGGAGCGGTGAGTCTGACGGTGGGCACCAGCGCCTACACGACGGGCGGGACGCTCACGTTGGCGGCCGGCACGGGTGTGACGGGCGGTCCTGTGTCGATGTCGGCCGGAACGGGCACCACGTCTACGGGCGGGTCGGTGAATCTGGCGGCGGGCGCAGGGTCGACGGGCGGATCGTTCACGGTGGTGGCCGGACAAGGCACCGGGACGACGGGCGGGGCGATCACGGTGACGGCCGGTGAAGGAGGGACGGACGGCGGCGCGTTGATCATGGCAGCAGGACACGGTGGTGACAGTGGTGGCCTCGTGGCTGTGTCTAGCGGGGCCGTGACGGACGGGAACAGCGGGACCGTCACCATCGTCTCCGCCAACGCCGGCACAACGGGCCACAGCGGTGTCATGACCTTCAGCTCCGGCACAACCACGTCGGGAGACACCGGCGCCGTCATGATCGGAAGCGGTGACGCCATCGGCGGACAGGCCGGTCTGTTGAGTCTGACCGTGGGCGACACGAGCTCGGGGGAGGGCGGCGAGGTGACCATATCCGCCGGTCAGTCGTCCGAATCGTCTGGCGGGGCCGTGACCATCGCGAGCGGGGTGGGCACCGCCACCACTAGCGGTGCGATCACCATCCGATCGCCCAACGCCGGCGCCGTGGGCGTGAGCGGCGCCATTGTGTTGAGCTCGGG